AACCAGAAGCTAACTTTACCCCTGACCTAAAACCTCTGCTGGAAGAAGCACGGCAACGAGCACGGGCAAGGTAAGATTTGCGGGTTAAAGGTAAGTGTTTTAACTCCCGCGCGTTTTTGGCCCGATTTTTGCTCTGCCAGTTTCTTGCCATGCATCGAGGACGCTGCATCTAGAGGGGGGATAGTTGTTGTATTCCGCTTCTTAAATCTGGGTCCAAACTGATACATTTTCTGTCTAATTTTTCCTTTCTCGCTTGGCGCGGTTACTGGACAAGTTCGCTGGAACTAACTGAATTCCAACTGCCTATTTTGCCGCTTTTCTGTCAGATCTTTATGGCTCCGACCTCTGGGTCAGACGGCGAGCGGGAAGCTGTCATGGATGCCAACAAGTAAACGCCGCCTCAGGCGGAAGTCCATACTTGCAGAAGTATGGGCGGGGGTCGTAGCACAGGCTACGACTGGGACGCTGGTCCCTGGCTCGCGGAGCCCCGTCATCGATTGGAAGCATGGATCAACGGTACGCCATTCCGGACTGGACCGCGCCATTTCGGAATTGGCTGTACGATTCATGGGATGGCCGCATCCTCCGCTATTTAAGCGGGTGAAACTCTTCCAAATCGGTGTCTTCCGACGCCACCATCCAGTTGTGGTTTAGTAAGATACAACACACATACAACCCGACGTTTTGCATGCAAACCCCACCTTCATGCCTGCTGCATACACAACCAAGCAGCTGCTGGCCTATGAGTCCACAACATTGTAGCCTCCCTTGCCATTTCCTGCTCTCCTCAGCCAACCCTTGCCCCCCTTGACCTCTCTTGCTCTCCTCTGCCATCCCTTGCTCTCCTCTGTCCTCCTCTGCCATCCCTTGCGTTCCTCTGTTCTCCTCTGCCATACCTTGCCCTCCCTTGGCCTCTCATGCTCTCCTCTGCCGCCCCTTGCTCTCCACTTCCCTCCTCTGCCGTCTCTTGCTCTCCTCTTTCCTCCTCTGCCCTCCCTTGCCCTCCCTTGCCCTCCCTTGCCCTCCCTTGCCCTCCCTTGCCCTCCCTTGCCCTCCCTTGCCCTCCCTTGCCCTACTCTGCCCTCCCGTTCCCTCCCTTGCCCTACTCTGCCCACCCTTGCCCTCCCTTGCTCTCTCCTGTCCTCCTCTGCCATCCCTTGCTATCCTCTGCCCTCCTCTG